GTCTAATGTTCCAGCTCCCTCCTATTCTTTTCAAGAAAAGTTCCAGCCACAGCGTTCCCTAACCCTAGGACCAGATCATCTGGGGACGGGAAGCATAGAGCTCTATGTAGATCACAGATTGAGGGCATGAGTTCACGTTTTGACTGTTTATGTCTCTGTTCCTCTGTGTACTTGCCCTCTTCCTGTCCTCATGTCTTTGGATGTTTTTACTGGCTACCTTCACATCAGGAGTCCTGGATGGCACCAAGCGTATTGAGGAGACAAGAGTTGTCTGTCCATGAAGTGATTTTTCTGAATGTCACTCAGACATATTTCAAAATGTTTGCAGGTACCATTATGTGTTATGGGCAGACGGGAGCTGGCAAGACATACACCATGACGGGGGCCACTGAGAATTACAAGCACCGGGGTATTCTCCCTCGTGCCCTGCAGCAGGTAGAGAATGGGCCCGTGTTGGGACGCCACACAGCTGCCCTCTTCTCTCCAGGTTGGCCACTAGAGACAGTGGGCTCAGCCTTCCAGTGAACTACAGCTCCACTGGTTCTGGAGACAGGCTTCTGTGACTGGGCTTGGGGTGGAGTCCGAGTCCCCAGGAAAAGAGGGCTTTGATTTTCAGATAGACCCTCCCTGACAATAAGCCTGTTTCCTTATTTGTGAAGGAGAGAACAGGCATGCTAATCAGGTTCCTGCTGCTCCCATGGTCTGTGAACCAGTAATTAAGGATTTGGAGGTCCTAATCATGCTTGTTGCTGGTTTTAATGAAGGGAATGCAGCTCTTTCAGAACTTCCTTATTATCTTGCTGTGGCTTCTTCATTCAGTTTTTCCTGAAAGAAGAAGGGCAAGAAGCAGGGTATGACCTGAGCCTTTAGGACTATGGCAGCCATGGCTCTGGGAATAAAGCAGAAGCCTAGGCAGAAGGGCCTTCCCTTGGGGCCTGCTAGCCCAGGTCTGGTGAGGACCATCTGGTTAAAGGTAGGATGAAAAAGGCCTTCTTCTCCTCTGCCCAGCACGGTGGTGCACGCCTTTAATTCCAGCATTTGGGAGGCAGAGGCGGGCTGATCTCTGTGAGTTCAAGGCCAGCCTGGTCTACAAATCAAGTTCCAAGATAGCTATGGCTGTCACACAAAGGCCTTTCTTATAAACCCCATGCTCATTTTTCGGAAGTAATATGCTTACTATCCCACTGTCAAATTTTCAATATCTAAAGGCTGAGAGTGTAACTCACTTGGTAAATAGCTTGCCTAACATGCACAGAGCCTTGGATTTGATCCCCAACCATTGAAGGGGGTGGGGGCGGGGGCATAGTGGCATGTGTTTGTAATCAGGAAATGGAGGGAATAGGATCAGAAGTTCAAGGTCATCTTTGGTTACATTGAGAATTCCTGAGCAACTTGGGTTACATGAGACCCCATCTCAAACAAAACACTTAAGTATCTCTAGCTGGGCATGATGGCCCACACTTGTAATCCCAGTACTTGGGAAGACTGAAACAAAAAGCCAGTGAGTTGGATAATTAACTGGGCTACATTTTGAAGTCTAGACAGCCCAGGACAGAGTGTGGAAACCAAAACAATAAAACCCAAGAGTGGATAATCTTACCTAACAGTAGCAGTTGTTGTTGATCATGCCTATCATCAATCAGCCAGACTATAAACCTTTTTAGGACAAGAATTATCCCACACTCCCTGATGCTCTCTCCTGAGGCTTTCCTCGGGGCTGATGTTAACGCGTTGGCTGTTGGAGCTCTACTCTTCGTGACTGTGCTCAAATTTCCATCTAGGTTTTCAGGATGATTGAGGAGCGCCCCACACATGCCATCACTGTACGTGTTTCCTACCTGGAGATCTATAATGAGAACCTGTTTGATCTCCTGTCCACTCTGCCCTACGTTGGACCCTCAGTCACACCAATGACCATCGTGGAAAACCCTCAAGGGGTCTTCATTAAGGGCTTGTCGGTCCATCTCACAAGTCAAGAGGAGGATGCATTCAGCCTCCTCTTTGAGGTGAGATGATCAGAGAGTCCCTTCCCTCCCTCCCTCCCTCCCTCTTCCCTCCCCCCACTTCCTTATCTTCCTCTTCCCTACTTTCATAATTTTTATTTACTTTGACAAACAGAATGAAAATTCATATGTGCTGATTTAGAAAACTAAGTGTTGAATAAGAACCAAAATTC